GTTCACTGAAAAAGTAAATTTGTCAAGTTTCCCAGTCAGAGAAGGTTGAGAGTTGGAACACTCTGCATCAGCCCTGGGACTTTACTGTGCATGCAAGTATGACCAAAAGGTGAAAAGTCCCCCAGGAAGGACCTGTTGTCCCAGCACTTCCCCTGTCAGTCTAAGCAAGGAAGCTTCTATCATAATTGACAGGAACGACTCCAGATTTACTATCTCACCGGGCAAAGCTCATGACATTGCTTTCTGAGAAAAGGGAAGCCTAAAGAGTGATGGATGGCATCCTAAGGAGTCCAGAGGCAGTTCCGGCAGGAGGGAGGCCCTGGCCCAGCGGAGGCCCCATTCCTCACCCACTGTCTCTCCATCGTCAGAGTGGCTGGTTCCGTTCCACCGCCCTGCTGCCTGGCCTAGACGTGTCACAATAGCGAGGTCACCTTCCTGCTTCGGGTAATTTTCCTTGGAGGCAAGACGGATCCATTTTTAACAGCTCTTCATTTCAGCAGAAATGCCCTCCTGCCTCCGATGGGGGCTGGGGGCCAGACGGGAAGAGAAGCTTTGTTCTTCTGACCAGTGCTGACAGTTTAATTAAACCCAGCTTGAGACAGGGTCGCTGGGGTCAGGCATTCTTCAACAGGGCTTCGGCAGAATCTCACAGCCCTGCAGCTCCAACCACCAGGGCCCTGTTAATGAGTTATCGTGGTCCTTACAGCAGGGATATAAATAAGGGGAAATAAATGCCCTGGGCTGCCCTTAATCACCCACCCGCCTCCTTCCCCTAGGCCCAGCAGAGACGAAAAAGGTCGATCTTGTCGGGACTCATATTGGTTTCAAGGCTAAAAGGCGGCCCAAGGGAACTGTTTCCAGATGCAGCTTCTGGACAAGACAGGGGGGGACACAACCAGCCAGAGCAGCCGGACCTGGAAGGACAGAGAGCTGCTCACCTGTGCCCCCCCTGAACCTAGGGTTCAGTGAAAACTGGGGTTTGCTGCTCTCAGGAAGCGGCCAGGTCTCGAACATGGCCCTCTAACCCCAGCCTAACCCCTGTGCAGGTCCGTGGAAACATCATCACATCCTCTGGGGGTTGTTGGCTGGCAAGGTGACGGAGCAGACCCCAAACCCAGGTGAGTGGGAGGTTATGGAGGATGAGGGATGGGTAAGTAGCAGGGAATCAGATGACAGAGTTGCCTGTTGGGAGGCCAGGTGGTCAGTAGATAAATAGTTAAGTGGAGGGGTGGAGAGATGGGTAGGTGGGTGGGCGGGGTAGGAGGTGCCTGGGTGGTGGGTTGTTGGATGCATGGGGGGAGTAGGTGGGTGATATGTAAGGATGACCTTCAGCAACAGCAGACAAGACTCAAATCTGGCTCCGTCCCTTGGCCGTGTCACAAACCCTCTGAGTTGCATTTATTTCCTCTATAAGATGGAGGAAATGCTGCTCTCACAGAGATGCTGCTGACAGATCCAGATCCTGTTTCCAGGTCTTTCAGGATGAGCCTGGCGCAGGATGACCTTCCGCTCATCCTGGTCATTACTATAAGGACTGCAGTTCCTGAGACTTTTCCTGTCCACCCTGGGACATAGAGGCAACAAAAGATGTCATGGGCAGGCTCGCTTCTGCAGTGGCCAACTCTAGACGAGGAGGAGGTGGGTGCCCTCTTCTAAAGGGGGGTGGCCCCCCACAATGGGAGCATCCTCAGGCAGCACAGACTTCACCTGTCACTTCAGGGCACCAAGAAACGTTCCCAGGGGCAACATCACCTCCTGGTTCCATGTCTCCTCTCCTTTCACTACTCAGCAAACTAGTACAAAAGCAGATTCCCTTTGCCAACAATGACTGTCCCACACTGAATTCTAGCCCATGGCCTATGGAGCCCTTCTCGTGGTGGCAGACCAGCCTCCTTCCATGGCCTCCTCTGGGTACTTCTGCAGGGCGCCCTTCACCTCCCATGAAAAGAAGCCAAAGCCCCCCGGGGGAAGGTCCCCACAAAGCGAGGGATGATTCTGAGTTAGGGGGTGAGATGCTGGTGAAAGCTGATCTCCACAGGGATGGGGGACACCTGCACTGACGCTGGATTAATGCTCAAGTGTGGGGTCACTTGCAGGCTGGGGGCTGGGTTGGCCACCCTCACAAGCAATTCCAGGGTGGGCTCCCTAACATGTTCCTAGCTCCTCCCACAGGCCACAGCATGCACACCTGAAAGAGGGCTGCACCATCCTTCAAACCTCACAGCAGCCCCGCACAGACCAAGCAATGAACCCGCGGACTGCACCACCCTTGCACTCTGTGGCCAAGAGTCCCTCTCAGCACATGTGGTCTTGCTCCAGCCCATTTTCATGCTGATTTGGCAAAGCCTCGGCATGAAAGTTCCTGATTTGCTCCAGATGCAAAGGATTAGTAACAGACCCCTCCAAAGCAAAGAGAAGGTCAACAGGTGAGAGACCAGAAACGCTAGGCACTGCCTCCCGACCTACCCTGCCTTCTCAGGAATCCCTCTCACCCCCAGTTCCCAAGGAGGCCTGGGATTCAGAGGTCCCACTAGCCCCAGTACAGCTCACTGGCCAGGAGAACACCTGACCTAAGATGGAACAATCAGATTCTTCCAGAAATCAAGAGTTGAAATCCCAAACACTTCAGGGATCAAAAAGCCTCAGCCACAGGAAGCAGGAGGGGAGTCCGCAATGTGGCCGACCCAAGTGGCAGGAACTAAGATGCTCCAATAAACCCAGGGCACTGCTTTGCAGGGAAGAGTGGAATAATAAGGTGGATGTTCTGAAAAACTAGAAGCATCCTCACATCTCAGGCGCCACGAGGGCCAGCTGAACCTCCATTCCTGCCTGCTCGCTGCGCCCCCCTTACACGGTGCTCCCACAGCTTCCACACCAGCCGGCCAGGGCTTCTGTTTCTGGAACCAAGCCAGCCCAAGTGCTTCTTGGCCAGACCAATGTGGGAACCTAGCAGAGAAGTTAGACGCTCAGGTCCAGAGAACAGGGGTAGAGGTGAGGTAAACTAGATCCTCTGCCCTCCCCTATGACCACCTCCAAGGTGAAGATCTCAGGAGCCCACACGCCAGGAACACGGAACCAGATTAATAAAAGGCATGAACTCCAGTCCTGGGTGACACTCGGGGTGTGGTGCAGGGAATCCTCCCCAGAGTCCTCCTGGCTTGCACACCTCCCTTACAGAGATCAGGAAATGTCTAGGGGCTGGGGGTGTAGCTCGGCAGGGCAGAGTGTGTGCTCAGCATGTGTGAAGCCCCTAGGTTCAATCCCCAGCACCAAAAAGAGAAAGAGAAACAGAGGAGAGCTAAATAGTCTGTGGCCCTGGGCCAGCTATGCCTGCATTCGAAGGATCTCCTGCCAAGAGTTCAGTGTGGAGGGAGAAGCAGTAAGTGCTGAGAGAAAGTTCTGGCTCTAGAGCCTGCACATATTCCCAAAGGGCCCAGGTGAGAACATCCAGCGTCTCTAAAGGCCACGGGTCCATCTGGCTCCCAGCCCAGGAGAACGCCAACAGCAGGTGTCACGCAGACTCCTGTCCTCTTCAAAGGCTCCTCAAGCCATTCAACCCTCGAATAGATTTCCTTGTGCCAGCCCTTGGTTATAGAATCTGATTATTTAACAGTTGCTAAAGCATAGAAGTCCTTTGCTCTAGAATTCCCTTGAGACATGAAACCATGAAGAGCATAGGGCTAGGAATCCAAAGGGGGCTTCAGAGGGACTCTGAGGAAGTCACAATACCTTTCCAACCTTGTCCCAGCAGCAGGAGACACTGCCTGCGTCATGGTCACACGTCAGGCTGTGCACAGGAGCACGATCCCCCACAGGGCTACTCACTCACTCCAGTTATCAGGGACATGAGAGACATCCACAGTCAGGCCCCCAGCACTCAGATGGCCCAGGCTGCCACCTGCCACCTAGCCCCACCTGCATCAGGCTTACCTGCATGACCTGGTGCCTTCTCCTCCACCTGGGTGCTCTCCCAGAGCTCCTTCAGGGAGGAAGCAGCAGCCCCCATCTCTCACCCAGTGCCCTGTTGGGCAAGCAGAAGGCCCCAGACAATGGTTCCAAAGGTTGCTAGTGACAACAATAAAGGGGGCTCCAACTCTCCTAACTCAAAATTCAAAAACTTAACAGTCCTCTGAAAAAATTCATAAGCTTATATGGCTGTTCTAAGTCATTACAGAGAGCAAAGTTAAGAAAAACATGTCATTAGAAAGCAGGTTTAGGGCTCAAAGTTAAGAGTTACTCTTTTTTTTTTTTTTCAGTGATTATCAAAACCACAGCCTCACACACACTAGGCAAGCACTCCACCACTGAGCTCTATCCCAGCCCAAAAGGAATTTTCTGATATGCAGATCTTTCCAATAAGGGAATTAATTGCCTAGGGAGGTGGTGAGCACCCCATCTCTAAAGGTAGCCAAGCAAAAGCTGCGGGCGATATGCTAAGGAGCTGTAGAGGAGGTTCCTTAGTAAATCTTCAGGGTCCTGTCCAACCCAAGAGTCCACAAAATGAAATGTGTGGTAGAACAATTCCAGACACCTCTGGGAAATCACAGATCAGAATTAGCAACCGTCCTTTAAACCCAAAAGCAGCACATTGACCACAAATAAAAATACGGCTTTCCACCCTGGTTGGTAAGCCTACTAAAGGTGGAAGGAGCAGAAAACAAATTAGTCTGAGAAGGGCTTATAGCTGAAAGAATCAATATTCAACCCAACACTCGAGATCCAGAGCATAAGAAGGACCCCTGCAAGGGCTGGCGGAGGTCAGTCACCGCGCGCCACCCCAGCTCCCCTGCCCCTGCACTGCTGGGGGCAGCGCACGGGGTGGATGAACTGGGGTTCTTCCAAGCGCTTGTCATGGAGAAGCGTCCCACACAGCACCTGGCCTGGCCTTTGATGGCCCAAACCCTTCCTGCCAGGTGAGGAGCAGCAGGAGAGGTCATGAGAAAGTCCAGGCCCCACTGACCACAGGTGGGGAGAATATTCTGGCACTAAGCATCACTCACAGTCGGGACAGGGCCTGGTTATTCTGGAACAGCAGTTCTGGCAACGTGTGCAGCTGGTTCCGGTTCAGTCGTCTGAAAAAAAGAGAACAGAGGAGTTGGAAGTCACCTAAGTGTCCAGGAAATCCAAAGGACTGCTCTAGAATTCCCTTGAGACACAAGGGTCCGGATTCAAGACCTAGCAGGGTCAGGGTGTGAGCCCAGGGGAATCGTCTTCAGAGCCAGTTCTATCTATGAAGTGGGAACCCCACCATCCAGCACTTGGAGGGCAAGAGTGACCTCCAAGAAAGCCACTCACCAAGTCAGCTTTGCTCCCTGCCCTTCACCATCACCCTGCACATCTGCAAGAACCTCTGTGACAGGGAAGGACTGACTGGCCAAGAAACGTGAGATTCGCCCTCATGGGGAAGATGGCCAAGCAGCCCCCATTCCTAATTGCTTGTGGCGAGGCAATGATTTAATGTTTTCTATTGTTTGCTTTGGTCTTTTTTCAAAATAAAAATAACTTGATCTTTTTAATTATTCATGAAAAGGCATGCTTTTAAAATCCAAAATCATAAGAGAAAAGTGCTCAACCACAAGCATTTTTCTCACTTAACAGTTTGTGCGTGGCTTTCCAGGCCAAACAATAGAAACTTCCTTTTTTTTTTTTTTCTTTCTCTCAGTGCTGAGAATCTAACCCAGCCTTCATGCATGCTAGGCAAGCGCTCCACACTGAGCTTCACCCCCAGTCCTCCTTTGTGACTGAACAGTATGTCCATAACTTTAATTCCCTGGAGGCTGGACAGAGATGTTTTCAGCAGTACAAACAGAGGCAGGAGCAGGAAGTCTGGTTCTGGAATACAGCCTGATGGGAAGACATCATGCAGAAAGGACCCAGACTTGTCCTGCATTTAACCAAACTTATCTCTCTCACCTTAAGCAACTAATTCTTTGATACCAGAATCTAGGATATAGCAAAGGATACAATCTAAATCTTGGAAAACTATAATAGACAATATTAAAAGTTAATAATTATTGTTTAGCCTCTACAGAACCTCAGCCCAGCAAGGGGCCTGAGACTCATAACATATACAGCCCTGGTCCACGGACAGCCTGCTGGGTACCAGCTGGGAGGTGCCTGGAGCTGCACCACCTCTGGCACTACCCCAAGGCCTACTTAATCAGTGCCTGCACTTCAACAAGATCCCCTGTGATTCGTGCGCACATGAAGGCTGCAGAAGCACTGATGTGTGTTACAGCCCCTGCCAGTAAGGCCACAGCACAGCCCGGGTTACACACACTATCACTTTGACAGAACCACTATGATAAACCAACTCAGCAAAAATATTCTTCTAGAGGGAGAGAAAAAGAAACTCCATTTTACGCAGCCAGCAGTAACTCATCTGTGGTTACCTCCTAGAAGGTCATCTTTCATCTGATAGGTGAGAACTGTCACTGTCACCACATCGGGGACTGTCATGTTTCCAGCACGGTACAGACAATTAGATGTGCAGCTTTAGGAGACCAGCTGGAAGAAATTGACTTTAAAGGGCAGCCTCCTAGGGAAACACACCATTGCCTCGAGAAAGAAAGAGACCACCACTATAATCCTCACAGCCACCCGAGGAGACATCAGGTGGCTCCAAGTTCCTTAATGCTGGTCCGATCAATTAATCCTGTGTTTCCATGGCCTGAAAATTGCTGGAGTTTGTTTTGTTTTTTCCCCAAGCCTTTCTCATTTTTCTGACTTCAATTTTTGTAAAACATTTAGGGGGAAAAAGGAATTCAACACCTAGTTTAAATTTAGAAAATCAAAGGGTACCAAAGAAGGGAGCCGGCATGGCGAGGGACCCATAGGACACTCCGAATAATAAAGGCAGCAGTGCCACTGTCATTCCAGCCTTGGCTGTGCGCCAGGCTCTGGGAGAGGTGTTCGATAGGCATTACTCCATCAGTGGAGGGAAAGCAGAGTAAGAAGGTGGACTTCTCTCTCCTGGATAAGACAACAGCACCTCCCGGTCATGCCCACACCCTCCTCCTCAAAACGACCCCATGGGGAAGGTCTCACTACCACCATCGCAGTGCCATGGGCTCGGCTCTTAACAGCTGCCCAGGGTGTCTGTTGGCCTTGCTGAATGTCCCTCTTTGAAAGATGAGGGAATCGTGATGCCAAGAGGTGAGCGAGTTGCCCAAGTCACGCTGAGTGGTGTAGATGTGGGATTCGGAAGCCTGCCTGTGGGTAGCTCCCCATCCCGGCTGAGCCCCACTCAGCCAGCTCATGGGGAGCTGAGCATGCTCTGTGTCCTCCCAGCTGCAGGCCAGCAGGTGTAGACCATCCTCCCCGGCCAGCAAAGCCACACACTTCCATGTCTACACTTAACAGGAACCAGCTATGTCTGTCCTCAAACTCGTTTATCACACAGGTACTTTATGGAATTCAATTAATTTCATTCACAAATGAACTAAGTGGAAAAAGAAAGCACCATCACTATGAAAACCAAGCTAAATGCTTTCAAAAGATTCAATAAAACAGAAAGCTGCTAATTAAAGAGCTATTAAATTAAATAGAAGACTTAATTCTCCACCAAGATTGCTTCCAAGGGCTTTTAAAAAATCTTACTTCACCTTGAAGAAAGCAAAGCAAACAAACAAACAAAAATCTTAAACAAGGTATGTAAGTGTGGTTTAGGAGAAGAAAGCAATATAGGATCCGAGTGTCTCATGCTAAAAAGAAAGTCTTATCAATAAATAAGTAAATAAATAAATCTGGGGAAAGGGGCCGATAAATGCACATTGACATGTTTTAACTGAAAATGAAATGTTTACAATCTACGTGGCTTCTCATCGCTCCCCACTTCAACCAGCTCCCAAGATAAACTGATCCCCTCTGGTATCCAATAGGTCAGACAGGGTGGCCACTAACTGGCCATTCACAAAAAGTCATGGGCACCTCCAGGGACAGAACAACTGTCCTGCTGGTGACCCACCCGGAAGAAAGGAACTGAAAAAGGACAGAAGGACTTAGTCTACAGTGACAAGTCACCACTCCAAGAAGAAGACCCTGGCCAGCCTGGGGTGGTAGCAGCAGGCAGGTCGGGGACCACCCTGGTTGCATGGAGACCCTTCCCCCACCTCTCATCCTCCTCCAGGGCGGAGCAGCACAGAGCTGGAGCCAGAAGGGGCTAGGTCCAAACCAGCCCCTCACTGCCAGGTCATTAATATGTATTTTGTTCTAAGCCTTGTAAAGGAGGCAGACCCGGGACTACACATCTGGTCTAGCTGTGAGCTCCTTATCGCTCAGTTTCAGGCCTGGAGGAGGAACACAAAAGAAGATTGCCTTGATTTTCTTCCAGGCTGCAAGAAGGCAGCGAGACGATCACATTCTTCCCCCTGTGTTTAATGCCTTCCTCTCTTTGATATTAGAGTGAAAGGTGGAGTATTAGGTGCTAGTCATTGGGAGCTCAGACTCTGAAGGGGAAGTGATCCAGGTTCTAATCTCCTCGTCGGCACCACTGTGGGCAAGCGACTTAACCTCGGTGCACCTCTGTTCCCCGTCTGTAAAATAACACTCGCAGCAGTGTTGTTTTTGAGATTAAATGAGAGTGCAGGTCAAAGAGCTCACCTTGGTTCCTGGCACAGAATAAGGCACCCGGTGGCAGCTATAATTGCTATTAAAAACTCATTGTAAGAAAATCCATGAGAAAAGCACAGAGAATAAAATGAAAAGTGCCCGCTGCTATCCCACCACTCAGTATAATTGCTTTCTTTCTCTTATAATCTGCTCACATAGTAAGCGGTTTTATTTACAAAAATGTCACTTCCTACCTTCCCCGCTTAATATACATAGGCACATTTCCATGGTCTCAACTGTTCTTCAAAAAAAATGTGATTCTATATCTTACTCCATCAAAATGGTTGTTTTTAAAATTTTTTTTGTATTTCAATAATATTACAATGAAAATCCTTATGTATAAATTTTTCAACCATGTCTCTGATTCTCTGATTGTTTCCTTAAAATAAAACAGACTATCTGATTCAGAGAGCATGAACTCGAGGACTCTTGACACCTATAACCAAACTACTTTGCAGGAGGGACAGACAGGTGGCCCCATGACTGAGTGCCTACCTCACCCACGCAAAAAGCCTTTTCTTTCCCCTTGTCACTAATATACAAAAACTGATCAAGACCCAAACCTGAAACAAACCACGCAAATCAGAACATGCTGCCACCTTCCCATGTCCCCGCTGTTGCTCTGAGTACCTAAGCCATCCTGACGGTCCCCTCAGCACATGAATGGCTTCTGCTAAGAACACACAAACCCGCCTGGGGGTGCAGCTGGGTGGTAGAGCGCTGGGGCCTGGGTTTGATCCCTCACACCAAAAAACAAAAACCACACAAATCAATGGACAGGGCATATGCCTGGGGACGAGATGGCAGGAGGGACTTGTGGGGAGGTTTTGCCATCACATATCTTCAGGGACAGACAATAGAGAGTGGCACTAGGGATGGTGGAAGTGCACTGCCAGGTTCCTCTGCCACCAGCTCCCCACGCCCTGCGACCTCTCCCCTGGCTGCAGCTCCGCCCGCTGCAGGCTCCACTGTGAGGCACAGGCAGGCTGGCTGGGGGCTGGGGTCCGCCCCCCAGGGGCTCCCTCGTTGGTTGCAACTGCAGCTTGACTGCTGATCCACTTTGTACCCTCCCCAGTGTCCCCCACCCCCAAGCCTGCGCCCTGCCAGTACTCACAGCCGCTCCAGTTCCTTCATGTCATCGAAAGCCCCTCGTTCCACCGCCACAACCTGGTTCTCCATCAGCTGCCTGGGGAGACAAAGAGACAGGACAGCTGCAGCGTCAGACCAGGACTCCCGGAAACAGCTGGCACCAGGGAGGAGCTGAGGCGAACTCTGCCAGGCGACGTTGGCACAGGGGCAAAACAGGAGCCGTGCCCAGGCCTCACACAGACCCACGTCCCAGCCTGGATGGACACAACCTTGCCAAGTCCCCAACACAGGCTCCTCAGCACACCCAGGCTGATAGCAAGCTGCGCATCCTGCCTGAGCCCCAGGCTGACCTCTCTGAAGCCTCCTGCCTCAGTGGTCCCAAGATGTGCCCCAGGGAGGCTCTGAGCTGCTGGTGCAGGTGCCCTTATTTAGCACAGAGGGCACATGTCCGAGAGGGAGAGCAGGGAGCAGGGGGTGTTGCCCAGTAGAGGGAGGGGAGCTGTGCCCTGGGCAGAGCCCAGTATGCAGCAAACCCCCCGCAGCGCTGGCACCCCCATCCCCACCCCGCCTGGCCCCATCTGCTGAAGAAAAGAGTGGGTGCCCAAGCCACTGAACCACCTGGCTCCGTGGGACTCTGCGTGGTGTCACCACCAACAGGCTCAGAGACCAGGGTGTCCAGCTGGTGAGGCAGAATTTCCACCAACATAGGGATTGTTGTGTGATCATTTTTGAGGGAATAAAGTTTGTTTTTCTCCTGTGTTTTCCCCTTTCCTCTCTCAGGTGACTATGTGTCCTAGCATGGGCCGCGGACAGGGTTTGGGGCAAGGTGGGGGTGGTACAAATATCAGGAGAGAGGGGGACCTCCCCCAGACCCAGAAGAGGGAAGGGGTCAAGGTCAGTGGGTTCTGTAGAAACAGACACCCCTGCCTAACAACTTGTCACCTTTGACCTCAGAGAGGATTGGCCATAAGGTTCCCAGCTCCTTCAAAGACCCTCAGAACTGCAGAACCAGCAGTTCTAAAAGAACCGAGACCCTAGGACCCTTGCACTATCCTGGGAGTCAGGGGTGAGGGACCTTGTAATTGTCTGATGCCCAGGTTCATAAGAACTCTGGAGACTGTTCCCGGCTGAACTGTGCCCCAACCCACCCACACCACTCCACGTGCTAAAGCCCAGCGCAGCCATGGGAGATAGGGCCTCTAGGAAGGCGGGTGAGGTGAATGGGGTCAAAGGATGGGCCTTACCAGAGGACTGGTGACCTTACAAGAAAAGGAAGAGGCACCACAGACCTTCTCACACAGAGAAAGCCACGTGAGGACCCAGTGAGCCCGTGGCCATCTCCAAGCTGGGAAGAGATGCCCACCCTCCAGCACCTTGATCTGGGACTCACAGCCTCCAGAACTGTGAGGCAGCCTGCATAGGCCCCCACGAGCTGAAGCTGACTAACAGAGACCTAAAAGTCTTCGTGGCCGCCAGGCTTTCCCTGGTCCCCACTCGGGAGGAGCCAATGGACAAGCCCTTCGCCGTGCCCCGTTTTTTCAGCCATGAGGTGAGTGATAGGCGCTCTGGGCTGAGACTCAACCTCACCCCATCCTGCTCCCAGAGGTCCCAAGATTGACTCCACAGTGGACAGCCAAGCTGGTGGACAGCACTTCAACCGCTCTCCAGGGCTCTGCCCGGGGCCCCAAGACCACTGCCAGGGTGGGAGTGGGAGGGAGGCCATGGGGGAGGGGCATCCTGTACTCACAACACCCGAAGCTGCTTGAGCCCCGCAAAGTCATTCTTGTGGATCCGGGTGATGTTGTTGCCGTTGAGTTCCCTGGTGGAGAAACGGGAAAAGGAAATGGTAAGATGCCCAGGGTGGGCTCCCGGCTCCACCAACCACCTCGCCAACGGGGCTGGGGGCTTCCGGCTCAGCCTCAGACCCCAACTCTGTGCCCAGGCCCAACAAGCTGGGGCCTCTTTTCAACAGATGTCCCACCAGCAGGAAGGACGAGGCCAGGGCACATTGCTGAGAGTGCTACAGAAACCAAACCACAGTCCCCGCCCCAAGGAGCCCAGGCTGGATGGAGGGACAGGACACTCAGGCAGGAAAGAATTCAGAGGCCAGCCCATGACAGGCTATTCTGACGACATCCTCGCTAGTCATCTGTGCCCTCACCTATAAACAGGAATGACAACTGTGTCCACTGCAGAGGGCCCCTTGGCCATCTGGTCCTTCCTCCCTTCCAAGGACACATCTGCTCCTCCCTTGACCCCTGGATCATCCCCTGGGCACTTTGGACATGGACCTTACTCAGGCCATCTCCGCCCCACCTCCCACCTGGCCTCGCAGAGCAGCTCCCTTGGCCTCTGTGGGGTCACTCCTCTTCCCCCAAAGCCTGCTCGGCCTCAGCAAGGCAGGCCGCAGCAGCAGGGAGGGGCTGCACGTCCCAGAAACCTCCTCCTCTGAGCCACACACAACACATGCTCAGACCTGGCTGCATCCCTAACTGTCCCCTTCAGCATCTAAGCTGTCCCCCACCCAGCTGCTCCCACTCATAGCCACTCTGTCTCCTTTCTCACCACTGTCACAGTCACCTGCATGCTTTGCATCAACCTAAGAACCCACACCCCAACACACACACACACACACACACACATATACCATGTTCACTACAGCTCAATCTTCTCACAACAAACTTTGGCTTAAATTTCCATGTACGGCCACCATCTCAACCCCAGTCCAAGCTACTAGGAAAATAGCAAGCTCCCTGTCCCGCATGTGCTGAGGTGTGGCCTGTAGAGGAGAGGGTCTACCAAGGATGGTGACACACTTGACTCACTTCCACGGGCTCCAGATACACACATCCTTACACGGGACTGGAAAGTAGCCATCGTGCCCATCTTACAGATGAAGAAGCTAGGTGCCTTCCTGAGGTCCCCAGCTGGTAGATGACAGAACCCACAGCCACAGCCTCTGACCGTAGGGCCCAGGCTTTCGGTTCAAGTAGACAAGCCAATAATTCCTTCAATCTGTCACTCTCTCTGCCCTTCTCCTTCTCAAGTCTGATTTCTTTGGCTATAACTTTTACAGAGTTGAGATAATTCAACAAGTATTTACTGAAGACCTGACCCCAAGGAACAGCCGAGAAACCTCATCTATGTCTACCGGGATCTGAGATGGGCTTCGTGCCCTCCATATTCGCACAGCCTTCCCCGAGCCAATCACATCCTGTCCCTAACTTCTGTAAGGACACTTTCTCCATGTGATGCAAGCTCTTTCCAACAGGAAGGTCTTTTCACATTGAACTCAATATTCTTCCCCGGAACCGTCACCAATCTGCTCCTTCTGCAATGTTCCCCAGACTTTGGGAACATCATCATAAGCTCTTTAAAACTGGCTCCCGTCCCAACCGAGCTGGCTTCCCTTGGGCGATCCTGCTGAAACATCACCCCCAAGCCCAAAACCGTGGCACTTTTGATTGTCTCATTCTCCTGATTATAAAAGTCTGTTGACAGTAGATTGGAAGGGCAAACCTGCTAAACAACTTAAATGGACATCAACAGAACACCCACCGCTTAGTTGAGCTCAGCACCTCCATGACACCAAGTATGCAGAAGCAGCTCAGCCATCAGAAATGGCCCAGGTCTGCCCCTAGTGACAAGGAAAGCCATCCCCAACCCGAGATGTAGAAACGGGTTACAGGACAACCTGTGTACTAACAGCCCCTTATGCAAACTCCTACACACACACACACACACACACACACCTGTACAGACAGGTGAGTGCACAGGTGAACTGGGACCTGTGTGCTATCGATTAATGGCTAACTGCTAAGTGTGGTGAGACTCGAGGTGGCTTGACTTTCTTTTTATACTTTTCCACATTGCGATTTTTTTTCAAAGATCTATGTTGTATACGCCAATGAAATAACCAAATCATTGCATTTAAAAATAAGAGTAACATATGCACATTCTTGAAATTTTTTCAACTTTCTGAATAAAGGGGAAAAAAAAGAAAATCCTGCATGAGCCCATCTCTAAGAATAATTCCCATTAACATTCTGGCACCTTTCCCTCTCAAGTCTGATTTCTTTGGATATAGTCTTTATAGAGTTGAGATAATTCAACAAGTATTTACTGAAGATCTACTGCAAGGTTCTAGAGAGGACAAATGGGACACAAGTATCACCCACTTCCACAGCTGACTCCCTGTTTGTCCTCTTAAGGTTCTGACCAGCCACAAGATGACCCAAGCTCTTGGACCATTGTTTTGATACTTTGTTTTGATGTTTTTCACTTAAAAACAATACTGCAAGCCAGGCGTGGTGACACGTGCCTATAATCCTAGTGGCTTGGAAGGCTGAGACAGGAGAATTGTGAGTTCAAGGCCAGCCTCAGCAACAGTGAGACACTAAGCAACTCAGTGAGACCCTGTCTCTAAATAAAATACAAAATAGGGCTGGGGATGTGGCTCAATGGTTGAGTGCCCTTGACTTCAATCCCTGGTACCAAAAAAAATTACCATATAAAGCTGAGTGGGCCTTTCAGAGGAAAACGCTCATAGGAAAGGAATCCCTCCGTCAGTGGTCACAGAGACTCTGACCAATTTTATAACCACTCATTCATTCCTTCCTTCTCAAGACAACCTTGGCTTACAAGGCAGTTGACCATGATAATATTTCCATTTCACAGATGGCAAAATGGGGCAACGACAAATGCCAAGACACGACTGACAACCTGTCAGACATGAAACGGGGCATCACTGAGGATGGAATTCCCATTAGGGCAGGTGGGGGTGGATAGGTTCACGGGGACTTCCAATGCCATCTGGCACCTGCCAGCTTCTCTTCTCACCCTTTTGTGCCACTGCCCCTGTGCAGACACTGGGACACATTCCTTAGCCCAAGACCAAGCCCTCCTTCCCATTCCTTACCTGTCACTCCAGCCCCACTCTAGGGAAGAACTGGACAGGCAGGGAGAGGGGACAATGAGGCAGACAGCAGAGCAAACACAGCCTCTCTCCCCAGAGGCCCTGCTGTGGTTCCAGACAAGACTGTCTGCCGAGGCCAAGGCCCACCCGCCTGCCCCACACCAGCCCTGCTCTCTATGCCAGAGCTAAGCGTCCCCTCTCAGGGGACTGCCCCTACCCAGCAGTCAGCGGCAGGACAGAGGCAGAGCTCACGAAGCCCCCGGGCCTGAGGGCTGCTGCATACCGAAGCGTTTTTCCACTGAGGCTGAGAACATGGCCTCTGCGGGGTCCTCCCCACCCCCAGCAGGGTGGCCACCAGGAAGGAGCGCCCAGCCTGGCTCCAAACACGCTTCATCTCCCGCATCCTCACAGCCACTAGGAGATGAGTCCCGTCCCCTCCGACATGCTGATGAGGAAACTGTGGCACAGACTGGTGAAAAACTAACCCAGCACCACGCGTCGGATAAACCGTGAGGCCAGGGTCGAAGGCGGCCAGCGTGATTCCAGGTGCTTTCCCTCCACCATGACCCCTCCTGTGGCTGGACTCTCCTCCAGTCGTCCCCCTGTGCCCTCACCCCGTACCTTGGACGGAGCTGAGAAGTCATGCGGCTGCTTTGGTTGTGAAGCACTTGCTCTGGAGCCCCAAGGCCACTGACCTTCCTGTGCATACCAGGGAAGTCCCCAGTGGGGCCAAGCTAAGTGTGTTCTTAGTGGCTAAGATCTTGAGCTCTGGAGCAACTTCTGCTCCCCCCTCCCACTACCTGTGTGGCCTTGGGCACGTAGCTTAACTTCTCTCTGTGCCTCAGTTTCCCCGTTTATAAAATGAGGGTGATGACAGCATCCGCCTCTCAGAGGTGTGGGAAGGTTTAAACGCCTCCCTATTTCTAAGACACCAAGCACCACGCCTGGCGCACCAATAGCGCTCTCTTTCAGGATTACCTGTGATTACTTTATGACTACTGCCATCGTTGTTATTTTCCTCAAGGACCCACAGGTCCCCCAGGAGGTGCTGTCCCCACGTCCAGCAGGCTAGTGACAAACTGGCTGAGCAGGAGGAATCAGTTTCTCGGGCCCTAGGATGCTGAAGACCAGGACAGACGCCCTAAAATGGCTTTTTCCCGTGGCGAGTCCACGGCACCCTTCTCCCCGAGGAGGAAATACACCCTGGTGGCCAATGGCCCTGATCTCCACCAGTCCCAGTGGGGCCCTGGCCTCAAAGGAAAAACCTCAGTGACAAAAGATTTTGGAGAAAAATCCTCTGAAGCAAATTACCAAGGAAAAAAACAAAGGCTCACGAGGATTTCTCAACTCCTCTCAGGAAACAAAAATTTGGTGGCCAGCATCTGGGTGTTTGTGACAAACCAATTGGACTCTCGGATTTCCTCAGGAACAAACACCTCAGGCCCTTCCCTCGAGGGTGACCTGGGAGCTGCCTGAGCTTTCTTCACAAGCATTTCTCACCCTGGAGCTCCTGCCTCGCTGGTTCCCTCAAGGACCAGAACGTTCCCACCGTGGCCCAAGCCCCCTGAGAAAACTATACTCCTCCTGCCAGGTCACCAAAACCAAACACTCTGCTCTGTGAATGAGACAGGCCTCCTGGGCTGAGAAACTGCACACCTCGGCTCTTTCCTTTGAAATCTGACCCTGGCCAACTCCACGAGCTGAGTGTCTGCACAGTCAGGCAGGAGAGCTCAGGGGAGGCAGAATTTCCCCTCCAGGCTCTGCCCAGACTGCAGTCCTGGGGCCCACAGGGCCCAGCACCCCATCCGCAAGCAAGCCCAGCCAGCTCGCTGACACCCACTCCACACCTCCACCCTGCGCCAGCAGCCCTGCAGAGCCGCCAAATGGGCTCCCCATGTTTGCCC